TGTAAGGAAGAAGAGGTATGTTATAATAAAGAAGAAATTTGTTAAAACATATATCAAGATCATAGAGGGCTAAAGATGTTAAAAATGATCTTTTAGAGTTGTCTTCTACAGGGTTGATTGCCATATGCTCAGCTCTCACAGCTGTGCAAAGTACCATAATCTGTCTTGTACATTGGGTCTGACCATCATTATTCTGGCCTTTCATGTAAATGGGCTTTACCATCTGGCTACTTATATCATTTTTCTTACTAACTGCTAAGAGTGTATCTTTTGGTAAAGTGGTGGCTGCATTTATAAAGATTATAGAAGACAAGTTTATTGAAAAAGAGTCTCTTCAATAAAAAGAGACTTTATAATTAAAGGTAGTGTTTCGTATTTTATTTGAAATTTTTCTTATATAATTTTGTTTGTCTCAAAATAGGTTGTTTCTTAGAAGTAGTTTGTGATTTGAGAATAGGTAAGTGTTTTATCACAGGAGTGATAAAAAATTAAAATTCTTGCAAGAAATTCAGTGCTAATAGGTTTAGTTGTAAGAAAGTCAATTGCTTGTTTACTAAGCTTATTTATGTTGTAATTTTGGGTTGTAATATTTTGATAAAGATTTAAATATAGATAGAAATAGTAGTTGTGATGTTTGGAATTAGCTGGAACATTATTAGCTTTATAAGCAGAGTTTTTTTGCATCATTTGCAAGTTTGTCAAGTAATATAATTGGAATTTGTTTATCAAAAGATGCTTCATGTTTGCTGTTTTTATAGAACAAAGAGGTGTTGAGTTTGGGTTGTTGCCAGATTTCATTTTCATGTTTAGAAAAGTCAATATAAGATTTTTGAAAAATGCTATTAAGAAGTTGTGAAGAGTGTTCATAGTATTGAGACAGTTCTTCAAAATTGTTGGGTTTAACTTCTTTTTCTTTTTTTGATTGTTTTGCTTCTTTTAAGTAGATGTAATTAGTATCTGTATAGGAAAGGATATGATGATTAGTGTGTTTAATTGCTTCATTACAATGTTCTTGTAAGTTGTTAGGTTTTGTGAATCTAAGTTTGGTAGACATAATTTCTTTGAGATGAAAAATGAATTTTTGTTGAAATTGGTATTTAAGTGTATTGAAGACCTTAGTTTTATCTATAAGATTGGTAAATTGGTGATTATATAATAGAAAAAATTGTTTAAATCACTGTTTGAAATGGTCAAATAAATTTTTTAGAGATGGGATGTTGAGTTTTTGTAAGAAAAATGTTTTGGGAATATTAAATTTAAGATATATATTAAATTTGCTATTAGAGCTAATTATAAGATATTGTTTTTCTTTATCAAAGTCAACTACTTCAAATAAAATTCTAAATCTTTTGGGTTGAAGTTGAATATTTTTAGCAAATTTGTTATAGTTAATAGCTTGGTAGTTGTTTGTAAGATAAAGGTGAAGACATGTAAGGTTAATGCAGAATTGTAATCAGTTTGGACTTGTATAAAAAGAGATAGTTGCAGATGAAACAAATATTTTTGAGTAGTTATATTTTGTAAAGAATACAGTAGTAAATGTAAAAATTAATTTTTTTAAAGTTTGTTTGAATATATCAAAAAAAATTATTATAGTTTTGACAGTATTTGGATTGTTTTTCTGAATAAAATCAACTAGAAATTAGGGTCTTTCTTCTGTCATTTTGCAGATTATATGATAGAAGTTAGCTTTAAAAGCTGATTGGTCACTAATTTTAAGTTTGATTTTAGTTCCAGATTTAAAATTAAATAGGTGTTGTTTAAGAAAATTAAAGATTTTTTTTATAAAGTCTGTTTGCAGTTGTGATTTATCTTTCATTTCTTCAGTTATAAAAAAGTTGGCAAGCCAGTCAAATGTTGGATTGGCTTTAGTTTTTTGTTGGTTGTTATTAATATTAGGTTTTGTTTTCTGTTATTGTTGTTGTTTGTCTGATTATTATTGTTATTTGTCTGATTGTTGTTGTTGTTTGTCTAGTTATTATTGTTATTATAATTGTTTGTTCAAATATGATTATTATTGTTAATTGTATTGTTATTTAAGTCCATAGCATTTGGGTTATTAGTATTACTTACAAGTAATGTTGTGAAAGTAAGTTCAGATGCTAATAGATTATAAGAACTAATTGTTTATTAAAGTTTTTAAATAAATGTAAGAGAAGAACTTGATGATTGAGTAGGTTGTTGAGTATTTGCACATGTTTTGTAATGAGATTTGTCATTATATAAGATTACATCTGTTATCAGATAATGTTGATTATTCATTTCTTTGCAGGCAATAGATAAGTTGCATTTACCACATAAGTGATTGTATATAGTAAGAGAGGGTGATGCTGTAGATAATGATAAGATAAATTCAATAGAATTTGTGATATTGTTTACTAAAAATTTTTTATTTTTGGATTTTTTGTTAATAGGAATAGCTTCATGTTGTTTGTAGATTTGGTTAAAAATTGAGATAAAGTGGATGTAAAACTTGGCACAAAAACATATAACAATAGAACTAGATTTAGATGTCTTAAAGTAATAATAACTTTTAGTTTCTCTCTAAGTTTTATAGTTTTATAATTATTTGATTGCTTGTTTGCAGAAATAGAATATGATATATTAGCTACATCTTCAAGAATACCAATACCAAAGCTTTTAGGACACTTTTGATAAAAATAGTCAAGATCGATGGTATCAGATATAACTGTAATTAAAATCAGCATTTTTTCTTAAAAATAGATTTCTAAATATGTTTTTCAAAAAAATTTGTTTAATTTAAAGTTTTCCAGACTAATTAGAAAAGTTTGGAAAAAAGTTTAAGTTTTAGGTAAGCTGATTGGATATTTAGGAAATTCTAATAGGTATCAGAAAAGTGAAATTTTCAGGACACTTTTGCAAATTTTTCTAAAATTGTCAATGAAAAAGCTTGCAAAGAGCAAAATTTTGTTTTTTGCTTTTCACTTGTATTTCTATGAGTTTTAGTCTGGTTTGAACAAAATATATATTAAAATGTCCAACTCAGTGAGCTGAACAACATTTAAATAGGCAATATAATAGATTTAATTAGTAAAATATTAAGTAAATAGACAAAAACCAAAAATATGATTCTTGAAATTTTTCTTAGCACCCAAGTGTTATTAGAACTTGAAATATAGCCACCTGGGAGTAGAAAAGTGTGCTGAACAACTTTACTTAAGAGGTTAAGTAAGGTTTACTTAGTAGAATGTTGAGAAATAATTAAATGTTTTTTTTGTGTTTTTGGTATAAGTGATCTACAGAAAGAGTTGCACTGAAGTTTTTTATATACTTCTGACATTTAAAATTCAATTTATATAATAACAATTATATTTCAAGTTTTATAATACATATATTCACAATTTACTAAATATTAACTTAAGCAATATTTATTTTAAACTATTAATTTAGTATAATAAGATTTTAATATTTTATATAGAATATAAAGATTACATTGAATAAAAAGTTTACAAAATAATTGTAATAAGATTGTTTTATTAATAATCCATATTTATAACAATGCAAAATGAGAAATGATCTACAAAAAATATACAATTAGTTGGATTTTAAAGACATTTGTATTTAATATATAATATATTAATACACTTTAGATGTTATTAAAAATTAATACAATTTTGGATATTTATATAATCAAGTAACACCTATTGTAGTAGATTGTTTAGATCAATTTTTTATCGATAAAATAATTACAATTTTAAATAAGTTTTCTTTTAATATTCCTCATAAAATTTAATTTATTCATCTAATTATTAGGATTATTACATGTTTTTTTTGAACAGTAAAGAGCATATAGTAATCATATATATATATATATTAAAAATTATTTTATTTTGTTTTTGATGAAAAAAAGTTTTGACAAAAAAACCTAAACCATGATATCTTAACTTACTACTTGAATTAGACATAATGAGTGATGCAAAATTAGAGAAAAATTATAGAAAAATTTGAATCTAATTACAATAATATTGAATATTACATGATATTTGATCTTTTGGATTGCTTACCTCTATCAAAGAAATCCTACGGTAAAACCCAAATCATTATAAAGTAGAGCAAAAATTCGAGTACAACCAGCATCAGTCCAACGAAAAAGCTTAAAATTTCTCAAAAAAAAAATGTCGACCCAACTATAATAAAAGCACGTAAAATAGTAAAACTTCCAAAAAAAAAAAGATATAATTTATTAAAGAAGATTAACACATGCAAACAAAATTTGCTAATGATATAAGTTTTTAAACTTTCATAAATGTATACATATTATTATATTAATATGTCGTAAATATTTGTACGAAGTACATAATTAATGAAATCAAACTTCGGATATTCATTCTGGACTATTACGTGATCATCTGGAGCGCAACCTGGTACAGTACACATTTTTGGGTTGCGAGAAACTCAAGAAAATTCATCACAATAATTACAAATAATAAAATATTATAAATAATATTTATTTTGAATTATAAATTATTAATAATTATTAATCTAAATATTGTTCAAGTATGTAAATCTAACGTTCACCTAATTCACATAATTTGGTCCATTCGTCCGGAGGTTGCATTTCTAAAATTTTATCTGGAAGTGTGACCAACTGCAACAAAAGACCAGATTCCAAATGCCACTATAAAGATAAAGAAGTTTAAAATCAGAATTGTATTCATTTTTTTCATGTATCACCAAAAAATCTTTACATACCTCGTAAAAAAAAAAAATGAAAAGAAATGAAATGAAAGGAACAAAACGTTAGTGAAGTTGACAAAAAAAAAAAAAAACCAATATAATGAACAAAAACGGAATGAAACGATAACATATCATGTGACAGTGTATTCCCCAGATTCCGGGATTGTCGGAAACAAATCTGATGGCGATCCACCTAAAAAAAATTACATTCACCTGTTCAGTCTGTTTTTCATTTTACTACATAATGGGACTATTCGTCACTCATTATACGTCACAAGTGAAAGAAAACGCGAAATTTTTTTTTACCCTAAGCCAGGTATTGTTGCAGTATCACGCTTGATTGGATTAAGTGTATTCAAAGCATTTTTATCAACTTTATCACCATCTCCGGTTCCAAGTACCCAAAATTGGTATCCATGCTAAGTTTTTAGAAAAAAAAGTTAATTTTTTAAATAATTATGCCGATTAATTAATTTTACATACAATGTGAAACGGATGTTCGCCATCGTCAGTATCTAAAAAAAAAATATTTGTTAATAAAATCATAAAATTGAAATCCTTATAAATTGGTAATTAATTATACTTACTGATGAAATACATATCAACTACTTCTCCAACTTTATCAAAAATATAGGCATTTGCAGTAGGATCATTAGATAATTTCTTTTTAAATACTCTATCTAAAGTCGGAAAATTTACATCGGGTATATAAGAAGATCCATTAAGGAAAGCTTTAACAACTCCTGTTGCATTCTCATGAAAAGAAATTTGGAATTCAAATTGTTTCGTTGCTTCGGGAACTTTTTCTTCTTTAAGTGGTTGTAAAGTCTTGGGATCTAGATCAACGCATTCTGACAAGGAATCTGTCCATGGATTATCTTCTGGTTTAGGATCATCGGAGGCTCCTGTGTAATGCACTGTAGCTTTCACAGTAGGAAGACTGGCTGCAGCATCTGGCATGCATTTCTTTTGAAATTCAGCACGCATTATATAATTATCGACAGGTTGGTTTGCAGTAACAATAACAGAATATCTTTGAGCGACATTGATGGGAAGACGATGGATTTTATTTCGTTTAGTATAGGTACCGTCTGCTTCTATAACTTCCATTTCATGTTTATCAATGGAAAAGAAGAATGACGAAAATGCGCTAGAAAAATAAAAACGCTCGTTACTTTTAAATTTTTTTTTGAATTGCATAATACGAAAATGTAGATTACCTAGTATTAATGATACGAAGGCGATATTTTTTATTTTGAACAAATTCAAATGTAGCAAGACCGGCATTATCCACACATTTAGAACCCGATGGGGCCTTGGAGCAATCGAAATTATTTTTTCCATTGATCAAACCGTTATCGGGAACTGTAGGTGTAGGAATCGTTCTAATTAGCATCACGCAGTCATACCTTTGTACTTATATCAACCTTTCTTACCTGGCTATTATAATAGAACGAGAATGAATTAATATGAATTTAAGAATTTTGAATTAATTTTCAAAACATTAAATTTACCTCTACTCCCTTACTTTCAGGAGTTAAGAATTCTTTTAATAAAATTTGAGCATTGGTGTGATGATAATCATTCAACATGACAATAATTTCCTCATCATATTCCGATTTAAACGGATCATCGGGATCGTGAATAACTAATAAATTAAATAGAAAGTCATAAGGAATTAGATTAAAAAAAAAAGTTGATTTAAATTAAATAACTTACTTAACGGGCCAAAAACTCCATCAACATATTGCAACGTTTCATGCGCATGACTAAAGAAATATTGTAGATAGACAGTGAGTACATAGGAGTTCAAATGAAATTTTTTTTTTGGTCCCATAAATACTTACTACCAATGAGTGCCGACTTCGTTGGGAACAGTGAAATCGTAGGTGAAATCGTAATTGTCTGGTATAACGCATTGAGCCTGATAGTGCACGTGTTAATCGATGATTGGTCAAGTTTGAAAGAAAATAATTATACGAATCGGTTTTTTTCATAAACTCACCATCCATGGTACTCCATCGAACCTATAGAATCGATTGTGAAATTAGTATTGTCTTTTGTAAAAATTAATTCCGGTAAAAAAAAATCACTTACCAGGGAGTTCCATTTTGAAGCATTCCATGCGCATGCATAGCTATTATTTCATTTTGAAAAATACGTTTAAAAACACGTACAACACATAAAACAGGAAAATATTCGTTGCAAATTACCTGTTGGTTCACCCAATTTATTATGGATTTTCAACAAAATACGGTCTCCCTTGTTAGCTTCTATGGTTGGTCCAGGATATTGACCATTAACGGTTGATAATTGACGAGTAAATCCATCTGGAGCTAAAGTAACTTTTTCTATAGTGAAATCAAAAATTTTTGTTTTTGGTTTATACTCTCGGTTCAAAATTGGCGTGGACGAGACTACTGCTGCCCAAAGAATAATATAAAAGGAAAAGATCCCATAAAACGTCATTGTATATTATTATTGATTTAAACGCGTTAAATTAATTAGAATTAAGGATACCTTGGCAGTATTTTATATCTTTCTTTATCATATATGCTATGATGGCCTTATTATTTTTATTATTTGTCATTCTAGAATGAATGAAAGTCGTACATAAATAATTAAACCGGCTATTTATCATATGTTTTCTTGTGAAAATTCTTTTTATTTTTACAGTATAATAATAATAAATTGTTAGTAGGCAGTTTACTTATTTGCGCGAGTAACAAACCAAAAAAGGAAATCGAATTTTGATAGAAGTTTAGGGTTAGGACGTTAATATTAGAGGCTAAGATTTCGTTCCCATCAACGGAATTCAAATCGGGCTGATCTGGAATAGTCAAATAATAATTTATATAATCAGGAAATATTTCACTCCTGTAAGTAAACCCATGATTTAACATTATTAACAAAATCATTATCAATTATGTAGTGCAGATGATCACTAATTAAGATTTTTTATAGTAAATTTTATGGATCTGCACGCTATATTAAATATGTAAAACCCGAAATTTAATATAAGTCATATTTAAGTTTTCGGGTTTCTTTTAGCAACACTCATATATACTTATAAAAAAAAAGTAACGAATTTATTACGTCTTTAATTCCTCCCGTAATATTTACCATTTTTTAATTCTATAAAAACAAAATGGCTTAAAAAGGCATCTCTAGATTTTACTAATTAAAATTTGAGTTAAAATCGCCACCCAAAAAAGTTACTTTCAATGTGATTAGCTAGTGATCGAGATGTTGCTCAAAGCATTACGACTACTTGAGTGATTATTGCGATTAATCGGAAAAACGAATTATTAAAAATTCATTACTCGAAATGCGGATTTTAAATTAGAGCAGTTCTATGAAAAAAATTGGTGCAGCCACAGGTTTTTTTTATAATCAAGATCAATTTTCTCGGCCAGTCAGATCGTTTGGTAAAACACATTGAGAGAGACGCTTGAGAACGGCCTTAGTAAGTAATTTTTTTTCTTCGATTCTTCAAGGTAATTGTTAAAGGCATAAATCCAATAAACACACTATTCTAAAAATATACGTTGATTGCCGTAACCAAATTTCCACGAAAAAAGAATGGAAATCGAAATAAAATGCAATCGCACCAGAAAACCTTATAGATTTTATTTTTAATACTCTTCCGGAAAATTATAACTCTGATATTTATTTGTGTAAAAAGTTTTTATAATTCTAAATCCAAGACACAGCAACAAAAAATTATTGAAGAAAATATATTAATAAAAATTTTGTGCAATTGCGTAAATTGGAGGATTATAATTATAGTTGACGGTAGAATTATTGAATTACGGCATTACGGCTTTTACCAGATGGTAGAATTAATTACGGCACAATGCCCGATTGGCGTAGTTCCGTATTTCCCTAATGCCGTAATTCCGTAATGCCTATACTTGCTGGCAAAACCTGAACAAATCCCAAACCCCCCAAAAAAAACAAATTACTTTTATAAAAAATTTAATCGACAAAATAATTTGAAATTTTGTAAATGTGATAAGCAAAATTGAAACCCACAAAAAGTCGATGTACCACGATACCCGTGACTATACATGTGTGCCGAAAAAAAAGTATTTTCGGCAAACATTACGGCATTGCTAAATTTTTTATATAGAACCCATTGAAATAACTATACTATATGACGTATTTTGATAAAAAGAGTTCAAAAAATTTCGGCAAATATATTCTTGTTATTTACTGGGTAAATAACAAGAATATATCACGGATAGAGTGTATAACATGCCCTATGTAAACGAAGAAGACATTCAGTGTTCGTGATTCATATAAAATTTGTCCCTTAATCAAATTACCTTGCTTTCATTATATAATAAAAACCATACCTACAATCATAACTATTCACTCGCCAAATATAACAGCCTTTTCGATTAAGCTCGACTTGTAGGTTACACGACATATCCCATCGACAAGCGACTGACCGGTTAAGTAATTAATTTCGGCAGTATTCGGTATAACGATAACATAAAAATCGCCACCCAAAAAAGTTTCGAAAATCATGTGATATTGTCAAATCATCATGATTAGGATCATTAAATATTAACGTTAACATAATTTTTTTCTTCAATACTTCAGAGTGAAAAGCGATTGTTAAAAACATAAAATCCAATAAACACATTATTCTGGAATATTCCAAATACTTAGAAAAACCATTAATCATAATACTTTCTGGTTGTACGTTTATTGAATAAATAAAATGATTAATTTATTGCTTATCGATATTATTTTGTTAGTCTGAATATTTTTTTGTTACATAAATTTTTAGTGCTTGATATATTAATCAATGTAATGTTCGAAACTTTTTTGGGTGATGATTTTACCCTGGTCTATATTATCGTTATACCGAATATTGCCGAATTAATTACTTAACCGGATCGGCCGAAAAATTATTCGGCTAATTTTTGCCAGGTGCCCCAGAATTTATGATAACACCTGTAAAAATGATTACAGAATTCTGACGAATGCATTCGAAAAAAGGCGAAATTCAAAATTACTAATTTTCTACCCTATTAATATAATTGGAAATACTTAAGCGACTTTTATTTTCGGGTATTCTTTTATTTTTTTTTTTGAAAAAAAGGAACTTATTTAGCAATAAAATGTATTTTTATTTCGCCCATTCCATGTTCTTGGAAGACTCTTGGTTTGAATCAATATTTTTTTTAACATTTATTATTTTTTATTGCAGAAGACTTTTCAAGGATATGTATGTCGCTTTTGTGTGAATAAAGATTAATGATTATAATTATATTAGTATTTTTCTCATCCATGTCATATATATTATATTCAAAAATAATTGAATTTATTTTAATTGGTATTAATGTACTAAATATCTTCAAATAACTTCCATTGATTTCATTGGTTTGATCAACTCTTATAGTAAGAGAATTTTATCAAATTAAATTATTAGAATTTTTAATAAATATACCTTTCGAAAAGAAAAACATTTTTAGTAAAAAATAAGAACAAAAGCATATGTATTTGCTTTGTTTTTGATAATACGTTTAGTAAGGCTTCATAAAATTACCACGCCCAGAATTTACGCCATTTCACTATAATACTTTCCTCATTTTGTTTCCTATGCTTCCTTTTCTTGTTTTCATTTACCTTATTTAAGCATTTAATACAGGTCCTTTTATGTACAATGTTTTGATTTGAGAATCTGTATGTATATAACTCTCATATACACTTTTTTTTTTTGAAATCGCGTAGTATTGTTTGATCAAATTGTTGTAATACGTATCAGATATGACATAATTTATTAACTTTGATGTTGGCTCCCGCGTCACGAATACATGTGTCGATAAAGCTACACTGGTTTCCTGGAAATACTTATTTGTGCGAGTGGTACAAACCAAAAAAAATGGAATTTTAACGAAAAATAAAATTTCATTCCTGTGTCATTTTTAAATACTCGTTTTCGCTTTGCTCACGTGTCGGCTGATCCGGGATAATCACATTCTCCTCTTTTTGGATTTGTATCACTTACACAAATAAGTACACGCCCGGTTTCCCCGTGAATGTCAATAAATGTCAGAAATACGTAATAGTTACATGCAAAAGTTTATCTCATTGATTGGCGTAAATCAATTTACCCAGGTAATTTATTTGTGCTTTAACTTGTTTTAACTTGTAATGCAATGACTACGTAGTAATATTGAACCTATCTAATGCATCGTAAACATATGGGCGATTATTAGAAATTGTCGCGGATTATCATGAAATTGGATCATCGTGAAATTTTGGGGACTCAATTTGAAAATATAAGCTCTACCAAAATCCACCTATACTAACAAAAAAAAAGCCGACAAAAAAGACCCCAGAAAATTTTAAAAATTTCACGATAATCAATATTGCATAAAATGTTAATCCAATCATTTTCAATCATTTATGTAATTACCGGTTGATTGGTAGATCATTCTTTTTAATCATGAATTTATAAGTTATTTAAATGTGTAACAAATCATAAATTTTATTTTATTACTATGTCACTTAATTTTAATAATTACAATAAATTTCCTATCAAAAATTTTCGCCCATATGATTTATAAAAATAGGCCCTTATTTGATATTTAAATTTATACGTATAAAGAATACTAATAGATCTATTTAATTATATAAATTTGATATCGAATTTCACAAATCCGCCGCGATGTATCAATATGATTAGACACTGTTTATTCCATTTTTAAATTTGAATAGTAGCAATTGGATTTCGGATATTTGCTAATTTTATAATAAAACTAGCCAATTTTTTTAGTACCCACGGGTGCTGTAATTTGTAAGATCAATGTAAGCTTGAATAGGGCCAGGGTTGTGAGCTTATATAGTCTAATGAAAAAAATTCATTAAATAAATCTATGCCTATTCAAAAAGTTTATATGTCTAATGACTACTATTCACAACCCAGAAATAGAGTTTGGTGTACGCTTATTTATGCAAGTAATACAACCCCAAAAAAGAGGATCGGTTAAAGCCTGGTGCATCCCGAAATCACCTAATATGCAATCCAGATTAGCTCTTTCAAGTGATACGTATAAACAGTTTTCTATCAACTGCTTTGTCTATTAATGTTTTTGCATAATCAAACACTTTTGCATATCAGTTGGCTGACATGTCGAAGATGATTATTATTACATTTGCACACATATAAAAACAATTCAACTAATATATATACATAAAATTTCGCATTTTCTTGGATTTGTAAGCTACTGAAACGTTGCACATGGTTCTTCTTTGGTCAAACCATTTTTGTTTACATTTTATAAATTTTTGTTCTTAGTTGAAAGTAGTGATTAATCTTGAAATTAATTAGCATGTTAATAGAATAATTCATTAGAGATAGATTCTTTTTTAGATTTGTATATTAAAAACATTGCATAAAATCAAGCTTTAAATTATCTCAATCTGAAAAGTTTGTTTCTAATGGACATAATAATCTGACTAATAATAATAACGATAATATACCTGGTAGTTATAGGGTGTTCTCAAGCGTCTTAATCAATTGGACAAAAATAAATTTTACTTAGCGGAAAATAATTTAAGGGAGTCAAAAGT